AACTTCAGACAGTAGAACAGTCACTTTTACCAGTCTATGGTAATGTATGTGATATGTGATGCCCTTACTTCCTTCCTGTCTGATTAAGATTGGTCCTTAGATACTATCACCATTTTTCAGATGATTTATTGATGTAATGGATTTATACTAACCCACCCACACTAGAAACCAGAAGATTTAGAAATCAGGTCTTTGGGCCACACTGATGCCTTTTCTGTCATACTATGAAATTAGTACCTACATTTAGATTGTTATTGTCCTAAAGAAATCAAGGTGAAAGATCAGTAAGCAGCATTCTTCCTGTTTCTCCCCTGGGATATTCTGTTATTACTTCTGTATACTTTCTGCCTTTTTTCTTCCCACCATTATCAGTTATGCTGATATTCTTCAATAAATCTGACTCCATATCCTTACAAAAAGCAATTTTGCCATCTTCCTAACTTAAGCATGAAAGGTTTATGAAAAATCAATAATGCACAGTATTTAGTGTTAGAAAACTTTTTAAAAGACAGCATAATTTCAGCACAAATTCAGTTTAAATCAGTTTTTCAGGGAGTCTGTCTTTACTGAGATCCTCAGTTCAAACATAAGTTCTGTATATTCCTAAAGCATAGGCACATAGGCAGTCTCTGCCAAATACAAAAAGTCCAAACTCCCAGAGAGAAATCAGGTATTCAATATAGCTGTATTGTTTTTTTAAACTGTTTAGATACAGTGAAATACCCTTGTCACTTAGGAAATTATATAAAATCATTTTTAAGCAATTTGAAAGAAAACAGACTAAGCAAAGAAAAGAAACTTAAGGGCTGGGGCTGTAGCTCAATGGTGGAGTGCTTGCCCAGCACGCGTGAGGCACTGGGTTCAATCCTCAGCACCACATAAAAATAAATAAAATAAAGGCATTGTGTCCCTCTATAACTACAAAAAAGTTTTAAACAGAAAAGAAACATAATTTTTTAAGGTATTATAATATTAGGATCCTAAGAGAAGATACTGTATGCTAGAAACAAGAACAGGCTGTTATAAAGAAAAACATTTAGAAACTAAAAATTCTTAAAAATTAAACATATGCTAGACATTGAAAGAGAACTTGTAAAGATAAGTATGGCTATTCAATTTATAGATAAAGTACCTTAGAAATCTCATATGTAGGCAGTGGCAATGATAAGCTTAAGAGTGATGCACTACTCTCCTTAGGAACTTAAGCAATTGAGATGTAGATTGTGAATAACTGCATCTGGAAAAGTAAACTGTATTTGGATATGCCTGTTCACCATGGGGAAGAGATTATGTTTACCACAATTCATTTTTGAATGAATTCCAAATTGTACATGTATTTTCTCCAGTAAAGTTTCTATTTCAAATCAACAAAACTGGGGAAATTAACAAAAATAAATTCCACAGAAAAGCATTCATTCTGTTACTATTTCTGCACTTCAAACAACATAGGCTACATGTCATGGGGGAAAATAAATGGCACACCTCCAGTGTAAATCTTCTGCTTTGTACATTCAGGCTGCTATAACAAAATGCCCTGAACAGGGTAGCATATATAAACAACAAAAAATTATTTCTTACTATCTATAGGTTAAAAGACCAAAATACTAGTAGATTCAGTGTCTGGTGAAGACTCACTTGGTGGTTCATTAATAGTGTGTTCCCACCATGTTCTCACATGATGGAAGAAATGTGGGGTCTCTTTTATAAGGATGTTAAAACCCCATTCATGAGAGCTCCATCCTCATAACTTAACTCCCTAAGGCCCCACCTCCCAATACCATCACCTTGGGGTTAATATTTCAAAATAGGAATTTTGGGGAAACAACATTCAGACCATAGCAGCATCCTCAAGTTTTGAGATACTTATATTAAACTAACACAAATACATTTGCTATACTTTCACCTTCTCTTTATTTGAGGAACTAAATAAGACAAAATACAGAAGTCTGCATTTTAAAATGGAAAAATAATTTCATATCTTTTATCTATGGATTAGTTATTACAAAATAAAACTGAGTATGTTAGTGATGACATTATTTTAAGTCATTAATTCAAAAATCCTAAATCAATATTTTCTAAATTAAAAGCCGCTAGTTTATATGTGGGATAAAGGTAGGTTACATGATGAAAAACATTTTATACTCACTAATCCTTCTAATTCTTATACAAACAAATATTCTTATAAAGTGACCCATTTATTCAGTTTTTCTGGTGTGTGGAAATATGGCCCATTTGACATAAATTAACATCGAGTCATTTAAATATATGTTGTCTTTCTAAACTTAAAATCTGCATAAAGCATGTGTTTATTGTACTTCATGAGTTATTACCTTAACAAAGGATATAAATTACTTGCATTCTTTGATATTACTACTTTGTTTTTTGCTCAGGATCATCTCCTATTAGGTATATTCTATAAAATACTTGGAATCTATTAATATCAGATTACTTTTAATCTTACTACAATCTGTGATTTAAGCACCTGATTATGTTTATGCAATGCATTGAAACATATTCTGCAAATTCAGGATGGTAATTGACCTTTAATTCTTTCCTTATCCAGATCAACTCTGGCTCACACCCATTATTCTATGACCTGTAATTTTATGAATTACCCCTCCTACCCTGTCCCCATTCTTTTCTTTATGTGATCCGTTTAAATGCCTTCACTGAAATCTAGCTTTTCCCAGGTGACACTTCATGCCTTTTGTGGAAAAAACAATCAGCCTGTTTTATGCTTCCCAGTACTCCTTACTGATGTTAGACCTTCATCATCTCTCTGAAATCTGTGCCATCTGATTAGGTCATCATTGGCTATAATAATAACTTCCATCTTCCTGGATGAATCAGTACTTTCTTCCTTCTTGCCCTGTCTCCTGTGATATATGACCATTCTCAAAGCCTATATTGACATCCCATCCAAAATCTCAATTCAGTGGTTTCCCAGTACTCTAAAACTTTCCATTTCTATTTAAGCCACCCATTAGCATGACCACACCTTGGAACAGCTCTAAAAAATGAAGCTGTTTCTTCTGACCAAAGTCTTCTATATCTTTTCTCTTGTACATCTTGAATTCATCCGTTTATCTGTTTTTCATCCTCATCCTAACTTTCAGACACTCTGCATCTCATGCTTTCCCCACTCCGTTCTATTATTCCTCATCTCTTGACATTTTGCTAGCCAAAGTAGTTCACTTGTTAGAGTAAGTTCTTTCTCTAACATAGTTCCCGCATTTTACAGTTCTAAATTAATTCATGGGGGGAAAAAAAGCCTAGTTAAATTTGAACTTTCTATAATAGCATCCATTTTTTTCTTTAGATTGTTTCAATTTTAAAATCAAGAAACCATGGTGACTATATGTCCTATCAACTACCAGATTTTAAGTGGACCTCTCTATATCTCACTATATTCTTTTGTAACACTTCTATTTGTGTTTTCCATATTCCAAGTGCTTAAATCTAACATTGCTTCCCAGGAGAGGACCTTGACTCCTACTTTACTAGACAAGCAAATTAGAATTCATTTGCCAAATTCTCTCATGTTTCTTCTCTATATTAAAATGTCTGCATCCACACTATGTCCAATTTTCTTATTTTAACAAAGAGCTGGTTTATGAATCATTTTAAATTTTTTACGTAGACCTACAAGTTTCTTCCTTGTTTAAAAACTTCCTTTTAAGGGCTAACTAGCCTCTGCTAAAGCCACCTTCAACAGCTGAGCTTTCTTCCTTTCTTCCCCATCTCCGCCTTCTTCCTCACCCTTTCTATTCAGTCCATTTCTGACCAACAGATTTTTAAATCAGAAACTGTAAAGAATCTGTTACCCTACCGAAATTTAACAGGGAGGCCTCTCACTATTTTATAAACACATACTGATAGCAAACATAAGTCTCATTTTTGAGTAAATTGAGTCAGAGAGAAATACCATGGCAAAAGCAGTATCCAAAGCAATGCCTTATATCAAGTCTCCAAGTTCTGTTCCATAGGGTAACACAGGGAGGGGTCCAGTGTCACCTACCCATGCAGCAGGGTGTGCTACAGAGGAGAACCCCGAAATAAGAGAGACAGACACTTGCCCTGGAATGGAACCAAATTATCACCAGGGAGGGAGAGATTTTATTCCCCTGGTATGTCCTCAGGAAGAGAAATGTTCTCTCTTTATTACAATAGAGGGAAATAAATCTCCCTCTAACTTTAAGTTAAATGCTATCTCTAGATTTCAAAGATGTTTGCCCTGCAAACCCTTTTGCTCAGAAGATCTAGACCATGCAAAAACATGATATTCATAAAGAATTATCTCCTAACAGGTTATCCCAGGTTTCTTTTAGTTTTATATATTTCAGTTTATCTGTACTCACTGCTTCTGTTGTCTTCCTATTACTCCTTATATTTGTATGCTCTGTCATCCTGCTGAAAACTATTCTGTGCAAAGTACCAGTGACATACCAATGACACAATCAAATGGTCTTTTAATCATTCTTGACTTTTTGCAAAATTTAACAAGGGCTATGCTTTCTTCCCTTTAAATTCTTCCACTGGTTTCTAATCTGATTCTGTTTCTCTCCTCAGCCCATTTCTCTGTTCTTTACTGTTGTGCTTTTTAATTCTGTCAAATGTGAACATATCAGGGCTGGGGATGTAACTCAGTGGTAAAGTATTTGCCTAGCATTTGTGAGGCTCTGTGTTCCATTCCCAGTACTGGGGGAAGGGGTATTGAACATATCACAGGCTGACTTTTCATCCTATATTTTTTTCCTCAACTGCCTTCTACTGAGTTTCAGCTGTCCCCTGTGCAGATAACTATAATTTGCTTCTTACATTCCAAAACTCACTTGTCTTTATTTCTGCCTAGATGTAATAAACTTTAAAAACAAGAATAAATTTCATGACCTGACTTTTCAATTTTTTACAGTTGCATTGCTTTGAAACACAAAGTCAAAAGAAATTGAGGAATACTTTATTACATGTGTTTTCAAAACCTTTTTATACTCTCTTTATAGGTTATATGTAAAGTCAGATGTGCCACTGAACTTGACAAACACAAGTAAGTTCCACAAGTATCCAAATCTCTATCTAAAAGATCTAAAGAATTAATATTAACGTTTGGTATCTAAAACATCTAAGTATTTTTAACAGTAGACTGCTCAAGGTTAAAGGAAGGGGCTGCTGAGGGCAACTTAGCAGTTTTTTAGTAGTTAGATGGGTTCAAAGGAAGTAAATTGAGTAGCCCTCTGTTCTCTCCCTTCAGCCAGTGCTACTAATACTTTTTTATTTTTTTCATCTCTGCTTTTGCCCCACTTCAGATGTCAGATGTTGCATCATAAAGTACATATGCTAAAGTTAGATTATATTGTTTGGAGTGAGAATGTATAGTATAATATCATGAACTAAATAATGTTTCAGTACTGATTAATCTCAACAGTGTGAATGCTAAACAGTCAAGTCAAGAGATGGGTTTTTGACCTAATTCTCCCACTAACTAACCTACTGAGTGTCCAGCTCATTTACCCTCTCCATGTTTTGGTTTCCTAAAATGCTCTAATTCCCTGGATATGTAATTTCAAGCTCCTTTTTGGATTTCAAAGTATGTAACTCTTGTTCTTATTATTTAGTCTAAGGGAATATTAAAATTCAGCATTTTCAAACAAAAATCTTTTCATTTTGCATTTAACTTAAAGCTTGTTTCCTTGTTACTGATTACACATTACCTTCAATTTATCTTGTGTAAACTATTTCCAAGGGCAGGTGATCTATGATTCCCATTGTTAAGTGACACAAAATAGATATTAAGATGCCAAATAAATTTCTGGACCATGTTACTTAACTTGGAGATATAAATATATTTGAACTGGGATTACTTTCATACAGAGAGCTGTTACTACTACTTTATACAGATGGCCACACCTTAGCTAGAGAGTTTATATGAGGTGGTCTAATTTTTTTTAAGGGAAAGAAGTTAAGCATTTCATGTGTAAGCCGTGCTATGTGCACAGTAAATGTATACCTTTATAAGAAGATGCAGTAGATGAGTACTTGAAATTATACATGTCCTTTAGTCAATTTTGAAAGCAATGTTTGATATACATAACTGGGAGTTCATAGGGTTAAATATATTTTAAAAGATTTCCTTTACCTCTTAAATTTAATATTAAATATGATCATATTAAACTTGGGACTAATCATATAAATTTAATATTAAATGATTAAATTTAGATACAGTATATTTTCTAGGCAGTGTTTAAAAGTTTGGTAATTAGCAGAAGGGAAAAGTCAATGAAAATATGCTCAATAGTTATAAAGATGAAAAAATTCAAGATTGCTTGAAACTGTGTTAAAATAGTCCTATATTATCTTCCTGGTAGGAGCAACTGAATTCAAATCCACATCAGATTATTTCTGGATTAATGCTTTAAAATCTGTGCCATCTTAAAATGATTTATATGCTAATTTCGTAACAGCATATATAGACCATGTAACTCTGAAGGATTATTAAATTTGTATTTAATGAAATTATAAATATTTTAAGCTGAGGAAATTCTTGTGCCCTAAAATGACATACTAATTTCTCATTAGTTTGTAAACATCTAATAAACTCTTTTTTTCTTTCAGAATTCTACTGCATTTGGGCTTTATATTAGCAAGTCTTCTCTTTTTAGTGGTGAACTTGACTTGCGCAATGCTAGTCCATGGAGATGTCCCAGAAAATCAGTTGAAATGGACTGTGTTTGTTCGAGCATTAATTAATGATAGCTTGTTTATTCTTTGTGCCATCTCTTTAGTTAGTTACATATGCAAAATTACAAAAATGTCATCAGCAAATGTCTACCTCGAATCAAAGGTAAGTATATTTCTTAAATTTGAACTTGAAAATCTAATTTTAAACCCTTACCAAAAGAACCTTAATTTAATGGAAAGTTTTCGTTGCTTTTTACATTTCTCAACTATAGACACATTTTTTAGCATGGAAGAATAGTCACTAGAAATTAAAGGGTAGTCAAAATTTGGCCCTTACTAAACAGTGGTTTGAAAAAAAAAAAAAGGCTTATACTAAGCATGTTGTGTTTTCTATGATTCTGCACTGGAGGCTGGTTAAATAAACCAGAATGTATACAAATGGATGAAAAATAGTCAAAAATAAAAACTGCAATAGCAACTTAAGATTTTGTCCAGTGAGGGTGGCAGTATTGCCATTAAACAAATTTACCAGATTATTTCTACCTATACTTAGATTAACAGTGTAAAGATGTCATATAGGTAAAGTGCTATTTATTTATATGAAGGTTTAAAAATGTTACTTATAACCCTAAAATATGAAGTCCATATGATATATGAAACAGATAGGCCTTGTTTCTCTCTTGTACTTTGGAAAAAAGGCAAATGTTATCTTTTGAACAAAAGACCATGTAAGTTTCTACTGTGGTTGATGGACCATGTGGTTGAGCAGTGAATTGGTCATCATAGTATTTATGGCATTGGGTGTGAGGATATAGATATGTAATATTGAGTGTGGTATATACATACAGACATTTTTACAATCGCTTGCACAGGAGAGCTTTCTTTAATTTGGCATCATTGCCTATTCACTGAAGATAAGCAAAATAGTATCTTAAACTGAACAGTTCTCTGGAATATTTTTAGATTTCTACAATGTCGTTATCCTTAACATAGTCCTAGTAAAGTACTATAATTAAATATATGGTAACTACTTGTCCTTTAAATTTAGGTAAAGATTTTAATTTTATATTTTGAATGTATTTCAGCAGAACACTTGGAGATACACACACACATTGCTATGTATGTGTATATGTAGCAAGAGAGAAAGAGAGACAGTCAAACTTTCAAACTAATTTATCATACCTATAAAATTATTCTATTAAATTTATAAAGAGTTCTTAAAATTTAAATATTTTAGTTAATTCTGGCTTCAGTTTGACTATTAAAAATAATTCTGTCACGATTATGGACCATAATACCATCTTTACTTAGTATAATAATAGTAGAATTCATCCTCTTGACTGTCTAGTGATAAAGCATAAACAGAGGCGATGGAATCTAATGTGATCCTCCTTTTTAGATACTTAACTTTCTAAGTTTGGCTTTACTTGTTTTGGAATGGATAATACTCTGAATATAGTTAAGTTAGCAAACTGAAAAGAAAAGGTAATCCGATGAATTCCCTAGAATTATTTCAAACATCTTCCCCTTACTATCATATGAAAGGTATTCATTTTTATTATATTATTTTTTAAATCTTAAATTTAAAAGCTATATGGATTCAGAATTGTCTAGGAACATTGCTGAAGACATGTTCAGATAAGTACCTAATAAGGCAGATGAGATTAGATTATTTATATTATACTGTTATGTAGTTTTTGATTTTCCTAACTAGGTTATAAACTTCCGTGTTCAAACAGCATGTCATCTTGCTTTCGTGTTATCCTTATAATCACAAGGTTCATTTTTATTTTTTACTTGTATAACAATACACAGTAATGAACATTTCTTTTATTATAACAGATAAACTATTCCACTTTCCAACTCACCCTTTTTCTTGCTATTCCTAAGAACATTTCCTTAAACCTCAGACTTTGTTTTCCTCTTATTATTCCTTCTTCCTTCTTTACACACTTTGTGTTCATGAGATAGATCCTCTCTAATTTGCCTCAACCAAATCTTACCACATGATTTCTGAATGATACACAGAGCATCTTACTTTCTCCACATCCTCAGGCTTTCTCACTATCCAGGAATGCATTTTCCCCTCCCTGTGCATTCTATTCACCTCTTACCCAACTCAGGACCTAACCCCAGTGGTTCCCATTTATAATCTTTTTTAAAAATATTTTAGTTGTAAATGGACACAATATCTTTTTATGTAAGTATTTTTTATGGTGCTGAGGATAGAACTGGTGCCTCACACCTATGAGGCAATCCCTCTACCACTAAGCTACAGCCCCAGCCCTCCCATTTATAATCTTAATTTGGTCCCTTCTCCCAATCTCCAAAATAAAATTTAGAAATGACTCACTGTCTGAATTATCTAAAAGTGTGCTTGTTTCCTTTGGGGGGCTTCTCAGTTTATACTAGATACCATTTGTGGGCAGATGTCTGATTATCTGACTAAATTCTAACCTCCTGGAAGGAAAGCTACTTACTATTCATATCTCCCTTCATGCCTCACACTTGAGGATTAGTGAAATTTTTTGAATGATTACTTACACATTTTTATTTCTATTCAATTATTCACCTCAACTGTCTTTGGGATATTTCCATCAGCTTAAATATTTCATTTTCTTCCTCCCTGCATCCTGTACCTATCTCTTTAAATTTTGTTTTTGTCCCCTTAATTCAGACTTAAATTTGGAGTACTTTGATACTTCTGCATTCCTTTTTTTCCTAAAACTAAACCATCAACTTTTTCATTTAAAAAAACTATTTTTATCCATTTGAGAAACTTGATAGTTATTCTCATTTAGTACCTTTTTTTCCTATCAGTATCTACTACATAACAGACAGTTGTTTTTCACATTATCTCATTTCCTGGTTGCTTTTTGGTGTATTTTAGAATGATTCTATTATGTGGTCTATTATATTGTGATATAATAAAACCTATATATTGAATCTCTCTGTTTCTGATTCTTGACACAAAGGAACTAGAACCCTTGAAATTCTCAAGAGTGACAAGTGTTTCGGGGTTTTTTTTTGGGGGGGGTTGTATGCAAATAAGGTAACTTGGAGCCCCTATATAGCTTCTTGATAGGGGGTTAGTCACCAGAAAGACCAAAGCATAATTAGAAGGGTTTGTACTTTCAGCTCCACCCTACCTCCAATCTCTAGAGAGGGGGTGGGAGCTCAAGGTTGAGTTTGATCACCAGTAGTCAATGATGTGATGATCAATCACACCTACATAATGTAGCCTCAATAAAAATCCAAAAGGATGGGTTTCAAGGAGCTTCCTTGAATATATGGAGATGCTTGAAGGGCGTCTCCAGAGAGGTCATGTAACCCTTGCAGTCCCATCCCTTATGCATCTCTTCCATCTGACTTTTTATCTGTATCTCTTGTAATATCTTTTATAATAAACTAGTAAACATGTTTCCTTAAGTTTTGTGACCCACTCTAGCAAATTAACCCAAGGAAGGAGTCTTTGGAACCCCAATTTGCAGCTTGTTGTTTAGAGCTATTAGTGACAACCTGTTCTTGTGATTGGCATCTGAAGAGGAGGGCAGTCTCGTGGGACTGAACACTCAACCTGTGGAATCTGATGCTATCTCTAAGTATATTGTGCCAAAATTGAATTAAATTATAGCACCATCAGTTGGTATGTGCTGGAGAATGGGTTGGTGGGGAGAAATCCCAACATGTTTTGGTGACCAGACGTGAAGTATATTATGTTGAGTGGTGAGTGGCATGTCAGAGTAGGGAAATAGTTGTTTTGTTTTGTTTTTTTAATTTTCCACATTACTATTTTATGCCTCCCTCTCCCCCCCCCCATTAAAAAAAAAGGAGAGCGGTTGGATCTTAGGAGGCAGAGGCACTGTGAACCTTATATGACCTGGCCCCTGACTTCTTTTAAACTCTCTATCACTACAACTCTCCTCTTCTTGTTCGAGCCTCATGGGCTTTTTTTTTTTTTTTTTGGTGACTTAGTTCCTCACCACAAAACACATACTAAATTTATACCAGCCATGTAGGCTTTGTGTATTTTGTTCTGTCTGCCTAAATTACACTCCTATAGGTATGTATATGACTTCTTTGTATCTAGGCCTCAGCTCAGATGTCACTTTGTCAAAGCTACTATTCTTAATCACTCATATGAGGTTCTCTCTCATTCTGATTGCAATATCTGTCCTTTTATTGTCTTCATGGCATTTATCAATAGCAAAATTATTGTTTGCATGCTTATTTTTTGCTTTTCCCTCCTACAGTGTAAACTCTGAAAGTAGTTCTCTTGCCTGTTTTGTTCACTTTTCTATCCCTTTTGTCTAAAATAATGCCTGGCATAAAGTTAAGTGTTCAATACATATTTGTTGAGTAAATGCATTCTGTGCTTGCATACAGTCTTTGCCAGAGCAACTTTACCCTAGTAACTGTATGGAAGTTCAAATCTTCCCTCTGAAGGTTTGGCAAACAAGTCTCCTGAAATAAATTAAAAGGGAAAAGACTCTTAACCATTAGCTCAACTGGATTCCAAAGGCAGATCCAGGAGACAAAATTTCTTACCTTTTTTGCCATCTTGTCAGATCCTAGGCTCTTCCCTATTGCAACTTCTGAAAGAGCAAAGTGATTTTGGAATTCTGCCAAAACAGGAGGGGCCAAGGGAGTTTCTCCCTCTCTGAAGTTTGGGTCTGTAAGTCTGCTGAAATAAATCAGCAATAGACATAACAGGAGAAAAAGAATATAAACTTATTAATGTGTACAGGAGCCATATAAAATATGAAACTCAAAGAAGAGACAGATGGTTGAGGACCTAAATATCATTCTCAGAAGGGTGAAGAAAGTGTCATATAGTAGAGAATAGTACAGGGGTAGCAAATGATATTTGGGAGAAATATGAACGAAGAACAGATAGTGGCCTGGGACAGAGTTCCTTAGAGTTTTAAGTGTGGTATTTAATTTTCAGTACTTTCTGTAATGGTTAATCCTTTCTGGCCAGTGAGATTTCCTGGCAGTTTCACACCTAAGAAAGGAACTTCCTTTAGAAAAGGGAACTTCACTTTTCAGAAAGCCTTTCCCTGGCTTTGGAGAGGAAAAAGGATCAAAGATGAGATGGGGTAGGAGAAAGTCAAGGAGACCTTAGTTCTGAGACTGTTGCTCCAGTTCAAAGTGCCACACTTT